ATGCCTGTCGCCGCCACTGTCCAGCAAAATGTTACTAAATATATAGAACATTAGTAGGGTTATTTATATTTCAGGTTCTATATAATAAATGTCAGATATATGGGTAACGAAATAACGCGGGAACGTTTCTACACGGGATCTTTCTTTACAGGGACACGTGCAATAAGATAAAGAAACTGCGAAGTCATTTTGTCATGCACTGGTAACATTTTGCTCGGAGGCACGTTTCATGTTGATCCTGCTACCTATAGCTTGAAAGTGTCATTATTCAGAATATGAAAAAGTTTATGTAAAATCAGATACATGCTGCTATAGCTGTAATTTTCCTAAGACTATTTTTTTATTAGGGTTTTACAATTGACTGTATATGCGAACCATGTGAATTGTTTTAATAAGCTAATATAGAAGTTTCTGGTAAGAAAAATTCAACTTCGTTGGCCTTAATCCACATGGGTTTGACAAGGCCCTAAAAGTAAACACTCTAAAAACTACAAGTTTACAGTAACTGGAAACTCCAACATACAAAGTAGAAATGGAACTGAAGTTTACCTAACTGAGTGAATTCTTCAAGTGGAGACATAATTTACAGGTTTTTTTTTCTGGCGTTGCCCAAATAAAAATTGTTTTCTCTCTTCTAGATCTTTGATATACATTATATATATATATATATACCGTTCAATAGAATATAAGTTTGTGACAAAAGATATGAAAGGAGATTTTAGGGTGGCTAAGATGAGCGTTGACATTTATATTGTTATATATATAGTTCAATAGAATATAAGTTTGTGACAAAAGATACGAAAGGACATTTTAGGGTGGCTAAGATGAGCGTTGACATTTATATTGTTATATATATAGTTCAATAGAATATAAATTTGTGACAAAGATACGAAAGGTCATTTTAGGATGGCTAAGATGAGCGTTGACATTTATATTGTTATATATATAGTTCAATAGAATATAAGTTTGTGACAAAAGATACGAAAGGACATTTTAGGGTGGCTAAGATGAGCGTTGACATTTATATTGTTATATATATAGTTCAATAGAATATAAGTTTGTGACATAAGATATGAAAGGTAATTTTAGGGTGGCTAAGATGAGCGTTGACATTTATATTGTTATATATAGCTCATTAGAATATAAGTTTGTGACAAAGATACGAAAGGACATTTTAGGGTGGCTAAGATGAGCGTTGACATTTATATTGTTATATATAGTTCAATAGAATATAAGTTTGTGACATAAGATACGAAAGGACATTTTAGGGTGGCTAAGATGAGCGTTGACATTTATATTGTTACGTACATTGGTTGTCATTGGTAGACCACAGATGAAACAAGTTAAACATGCAACTAAAGCCATCACGCTCTTCTTTTGATGAAGATGAGGGAATTCATCTTTGATTGTAGTTAAAATGGCTTCAATATGTCCAATCTGAAACAGAAATAAAATAACGGTACTGGAATAACTTCATTAATGAAAGCGCTTTATTGCGGATATGTTTCATATCATAACTTCAAACACAATAAATTATAAACAATATATATATATATACATATATGCATCAACAAAATAATTATAGCATGTGCTAACTTTTTCCTAACTAATTTTCTTTTTTTTCCTTTTTTAATTTGAATTAGTTTTACAAGATTCTTTTTTCATGAAAATAATTTAAACATATAATACACAGGTCTCACATAAGCTTACTTTACGCCCCCCAGTGGCACAGCGGTATGTCTGCGGACTTACAATGCAAGAAACTGGGCACAGATAGCCCATTGTATAGCTCTGTGCTTAATTACAAAACAACCAACTTACTTTATAGTGACTCAGCGGTAAATTTGATGGCTTAACACGCTAAACATCTATTGTGATACCCGCAGTGGGCACAGTACAGATAGCCCATTGTGTAAATATGTTCTCAAAAAATAAACAGACAAAATATTAGAATGAAACCAACGTCGAGTTAAAAAGATTTCTTTTCATTAAAAACTAAAGGTAAAAATGGATGAAACTTCCCATCTTCTTCAATACTAAAATTATTTCTCAAAAGGCACGAATAACAAAGTGATAACCATGTTTCAGAGTGACAATTTGAACCTATTTTGATACAGTGTAAAGTTCAAGATATGATGGAAATCAAGAAAACAATACAATTGAAATTAATGTGAAAATAAACAATTTGATGTCCATCTTACAAGCTCATACTTGTTGCTCCTAAATCTTTTTGTATCATGTTTTCGACTCTCTATCTTCAGCTACCAAATTAATTTTAGAATCTTTATCTGTTTATATTTAGTCATTATTTCAGGCCAACAACTGAACTACGGGTAAATGAATCGTAATCCTATGGGAATTTAAAATAGAGGGGCCAAAATAGGTGCTGCCTCTTCTTGTTCCAACGTTATATTTCTCATTATTTTATAAGAGTACACATATTTTGTTAATTTTATGCAATTCTATAACTTGATAATTTATTTTATCATAATTTTTCTTTTTACTTTATTTCAGGTAGTTGGTGTTATAAATGAACTGTCAAATTTGCTCTCAACAATCGAACAATCTTACTGGAATACTGGTCACAGGCGGACAAATAGCCTCCATGTAGGAATTATGACATATATATATATATATATATACATATAAAATTGTTGTAAAATTTGTCAACATATTGACTCACCGCACTTCCAAGCCCCAACATGTACAACATTATAAAAAATAGTATAGACCAGAGCTGTGGAACAAACGGTGCCTGACTAAGGGCCTCTGGATAGGTGATGAAGGCCAAGGTTAATCCTGAAAAAAAAACAAAAAACATTTTATTAGTATTGTTAGATTTTACTAACTAGTGTAAAATATATTAATAAATAATGTTAATAATATATCAGGAGGTATCTATCCTCCAATACGTGAATATAAAACAAACAGAACCTTTCTGGTTCTATATTTAAAAACACGTAAAGTTTACTTAGCGCTTCTTTTTTGTTTCTTTGTTTATTTACCACGTAATATATAGCTGATACACATTTAGCAAGAAATAGACAAGTTAACTTTTCAGAGGATTCTCTTAATTAACAGTTAGAGTTTGATCATAATTAATTTTTATAAAAACTCATGGGAATGAATATAATTTCTAATTCCAGAGTATTCATCCATTTGTTCTTTATTTTTACAATGAAAAAGAAAAAAATGTGCAACTTTTTAATTTATTGTGTAATCTTAATCAACTTTTTTACGTTACAATTAAAATTAATTCGTTTGTCGCTAAGCTTTCACCTATCTAACTAGTAAGTATTAAGAGTCCTAATTTCTAAATTGAAATGTTTATCCATCACAAATATAGATATTACCATTGACAGCAATTCTCAGAAAGTTCGAGACGTCAAGTCAAATCTAGTCACCTGCGAATTTCTAGGTGACACATGTCATCACTACGTCGTGCCAAACAATACAAAACGTCTAAAATCAACAATTAAAGCAATATCCACATCGACAGCGAGAACTTTTTAAGTGAGTCTTGGTCAACGACTCTTGCTTTTTTGGTTTAAATGTCGTGAATTTCTACTGTAATTGGCCTAAAACATTGATTAGAAGATATACGAATATATATGATATTAGAGATACGCGAAAGTCATAGGAAGGGTATGTGAGCTACTTTCAACAATATAGAAAAAAAAATCTATAAAATATAATGAAGAAGATGAATAAAAATAAAATAACGTACTGGTAAGGGAAAGTGGCTGAATTGGTAACGTTGCTAAAAGTTTTGTCTCGTTCGTTTAAGGTCTTTCATCAGGAGTGGTTTTAGGTATTTATTAGGCCCGGCATGGCCAGGAGGTTAGGGCGTTCGACTCGCGATATGAGGGTCGCGGGTTCGAATCCATGTTCCACCAAACATGCTCGCCCTTTCAGCCGTGGGGGCGTTATAATGTGACGGTCAATCCCACTATTCGTTGGTAAAAGAGTAGCCCAAGAGTTGGCGGTGGGTGGTGATAACTAGCTGCCTTCCCTCTAATCTTACACTGCTAAATTAGGGACGGCTATCGCAGATAGCCCTCGTGTAGCTTTGCGCGAAATTCAAAACAAACCAAGCAATAGATATTTATTTTTTCGGTGCAGTTGCAGCCCATTTATCTTTATTGTGACACATTTTGAGCGTGATGATTGCTGAGAATAATTTTATCTAGTGATGGATTAATTAGTCAATTAGTTAATGACTGAAATACGTGTAACAATACCAGAAATAATATCAATGTCATTAGGCCTACTAGTACATTACAGAGGCGAGGTACTCGGATGAACGACGTTCAATTTAAAGATATTTCAGTCAAAAAGTTTGAGAACCACTGGTCTAGAGGATAATGTCCTAAGTCAGAAGATACATTAAACCTTTTAACATTTTTCAAGCAATAAAGATTTGACGAATTGGTAACTTGTTGGTTGCCTATTCTCTCTCTAAATTTCTGTAGAAACGTATGCATCTAACATACTTAACTTAGTATTTGTAGTATTCAACTATACTAGGTATTTATTACCTCATTCTGTTAGTAAAAGATCACCTTTTGGTTTTCATTTTCGTGCATACAACTGCATGTAGGCAGGAGCGCTATTTAAGATTTCGATATAGATTCGAAGGTTAAGATCTATAGAAAACAGTCTATTTTGGGAACATTTTCTCTGATTATTTCATATTATTTAATAACCATTCAATAATATATTTATTTCCGAAATGAACGAATGATATTAAGCACAGATGGAACGAACAACAACTTTCACGAAAGAAAGATTGCTGTAAAAGCTGACCACACTCTAAAGGAGGCAGCGATCTTGTCCACGGACTTGACAAGGGGCCGTGCGCGGCCCAGTGATTGGTGTGCCGCACTGTAGATCCGAGGTTTGCGCTCTGTTATCATAAAAAAATCAAGTTCTGCACTTTGAAGCTGTAGGTGCGTTGTAAGAGTGACTGTCAAAGCTCACTATTCGACTAAAGTAGCCACGAGTTGGCGGTGAGTAACGTTGACTAGCTGCCTTCCCTCTACTTGATCGTTTCAAAGTTAGGGAGCTAGTGTTGATAGCCATCGAATAGCTGTGCACGAAACTCAACAAACAACGACTTCTCAGCTGATACCTTGAAGGTACACCCTCTCTCATTTTTCTATTGGAATAACCAACAGTAACGTAACTAGTGCATGTTCGTGAGAATAATAGCGTCATAGAGCTTTTTATATAATACAGATTTTCTTGTGAGAATAATAGCGTCATAGAGCTTTTTATATAATACAGATTTTTTTGTATATGTTCTAGTAAAAGCACTATCCCCCGTCTCCACACTCGAAATTGTGATTGTGTTTATTATTGACCAAAGATTGTTTTCACTGTGTTTTACGATGTATTCCAGCCTCTTTTTTTCTACTAAATTCAGTCGAAATCAATATAACACAGACTAACTCTGCAATGCATTTTCTTCTCGAACCTCCTGTTATCCTACGGATCCAAGTGGATTACTCGAAAAGAAATCAGTTAATTTTAAAAATTAGAATAGAACAGTATTAAAGTAAAACTTTAAATATCTTAAGCACTCCAAAACGCTGAAGATACATCCAGATTATTATGTGTATATTACTTCTGTCTCTTATTATTAACCCTCAATGATTTTTCATTACAATTCCCTAACTGGGAAGTAATTTTAACGGTAGAGTGTAAATTATCCAAGACACTTATTCTGCAGTTTTGAAATTTTGTTATTATCAACACAATATCCTTAATATTTAGACATCTTACCTGAATCTTTGGCAACAGTGCTGATATCTTGTTCCAGATCGTGGGCTAATGTTCCTAATACAGAGAAAACTACACAGCCAGCCAGCACACTCGTAAGAGTATCAGCCACACTAATTATTAGAGCATCTCTGAAACACATCATTAAACAATTTAAGATGTATATTTATCACAGAGTAATTTAAACAAATCCTTAGCAAACAAACAAAAATAAACCTCTCCCTCTGTCGATTAGTGTTACAGAAAGCGGAATTGTGGTTAGTATGTTTTTACAAAGTTAATAATATCTGGTAACGTACCCTGTTGATTCACCATTAATTTTACTCTTTCAATGATACATTTATAGATACTCTCCTAGTGCCAGATTTACTTTTAAGTCACAAGAGAAAACAAAAGTACACGTGTTTTAACATTGTGTTTCTTATCTGAAAATTGAAACTGGTGCATTTTGAGAAATTTGGAGAGGAATACCCATTCGTCATGGTAACCCAAAACTCTAAAATCGTATGGCAATACTCTAGAGACATATATGTGTCCATGGTAGAGCGCCCTAGAGACATATATGTGCCCATGGTAGAGCGCTCTAGAGACATATATGTGCCCATGGTAGAGCGCTCTAGAGACATATATATGCCCATGGTAGAGCGCTCTAGAGACATATATGTGTCCATGGTAGAGCGCCCTAGAGACATATATGTGCCCATGGTAGAGCCCATCTGTCGCTAGGTAACTTATCTGTGTACATTCTATTAAAAGTTGTTACTTGAGTGTAACATCTGTCACCAAGTAACTTACCTGTGTACGTTCTGTTGAAAGTTGTCACTTGAGTGTAACATCTGGTGGCTTACCTGTATACATTCTGTTAAAAGTTGTCACTTGAGTGTAACATCTGTCACCAGGTGACTTACCTGTGTACGTTCTGTTGAAAGTTGTCACTTGAGTGTAACATCTGGTGGCTTACCTGTATACATTCTGTTA